AGTATAGTATAGTATAGTATAGTATAGTATAGTATAGTTAGTATATTATAGTACAGTATGGTAGTAGTGATAGAAAGGTGAACTGACAGGAAGCTGACTGGATGATTTCCTGTCAGATTGTCAGAAGTGGACGTCAGCTGGTTTCATCAGAACCAGCTAGTTATGAGTTAATTAGTTAATGTGTTAATCAAAGGTCAACCAGGCCTGAAGATGAGACATTAAAAACAGCAGGTGGAGCTCAGAAAGTTTTACTTGGTGTTTTAATGTTGGATCCTTTCACAATAAAACTCACAATAAAAACTCAAGTATTTCAGAGAAAAACCTTGTTTTTTACTTCAAATGACTTCTGCAGAACATGAAGAGAGTAATTAAAGGTGATTGAAGTCAAACTGTTGAAAGTTGTTGCTTCAGGCTCTGAGGAAGGACTGTACGCTCATATCTTTTCTCTTTCCTGTGGAGAAGAAGATGCACCGTGGAGCCTGCTGGCTTCAGCATCACATCCAGTCAGGAGACAAAACCGTTTTTATTCTTCAGTTTGTTTGTTGAAAAAAAAAAATCAGACGTTAAACCAGAAATAAAGATTTGAATTATTCTTTCATGTTTATTATTCTTTCATGTTTATTATTCTTTCATGTTTTGAGAGTGAAAACATAGGAAGTAGAAAGAAGTGTTTCCTGTTTGATCTTAGCTACAGTTCAGATGGACCTGATCTAAAAACTGAGTAAGCTGAGCCGTTTCCTTCATACCTGCACCATGCACGCCTACATGTGCACACCTACCCATGCACACCTGCACATGCACACCTACACGTGCACGCCCGCTCCATGCACACCTACACGTGCACGCTCAGGCCCTGTTGTTGGATGCGGTCAGGCTCAGACATGCTGGATCCTTCATGTTTATTATGCAAATCCGAGCACTCCCTCAGTTTGTGTGTTTTCAGAGACACCTGTCTGAACAGGAACCGGCCCGGCAGCATTTCACTGCCAGGCAGCACTCCGGTTCTGATCTGAGCCCAGAACCGCCTGCGGGCTCTGATGGAGAGGTTCTGATCCAAACTGAGATCAAAACGTTCACCTGAACCACTAACAGAACCTGTTAATGATTCTAATCCAGATAAATACAGAAACTCTGAGCTGGGTCCAGACTCCTGACAGACCACTCAGGTGGTCTCAGGTGGTCTCAGGTGGTCTCAGATGGTCTCAGGTGGTCTCAGATGGTCTCAGAGGATCAGATCTGGGGTTTCCTCCTGAATCATCTCATTTTTCTCTTTCAGCCATGGAAACAAAGAAGTCTTCTCCTGCCTGGGCATCCAGCTGGCTGTCAGCTGCTTCCTGCAGCGAGGTCACCCAGAGGTCACCGTCTTTGTCCCGTCATGGAGGAAGGAGCAGCCACGGCCCGACGTCCCCATCACAGGTAGGACAGGACGCCACGCGTGCTCAGAACCTCAGAACCTCAGAACCACAGAACCTCAGAACCTCAGAACCACAGAACCTCAGAACCACAGAACCTCAGAACCTCAGAACCACAGAACCTCAGGTTTTTTTGATCAGATAATAACTAAACCAGAAGAAGTTAGAAAACAAAATAAATCCTGGTGAAGAAGGGTCACCCGGTGAAGAAGAGTCACCTGGTGAAGAAGAGTCACCTGGTGAAGAAGAGTCACAGTTTTTGTGTCACATCCTGGTCCTTGAGAAAGCCAGGCAGAGTAATCAAACACAGATCCACAGATTTA